TAATTATGATAAATGAAATGATCATGTGTACAATGGTCACCGTCGTACTAAAGGGTAATGACAAGATAGTCACAGACTGAGCTGATATGCAACATTTATCAAGGTCAACAACTTCATGCATCAAGGTGAAATTTCAATATGACACCTTTGGTGTGTGTGTGTGAGTGTGTGTGTGTGTGTGCAAATCATTCAAGTTTACATGAGTTTTAAAAAAATATTGAAAAAAAATAACTATGCATGAAGAAAGTTTTACCAATTCAAAATGGATTTTCTGGTAATTTTGTAAATAAAAAAAAAAATTTATGGAGACTAAATCTACCCATCCATCTAAAGGTAATACTCAAAGTGTGCCTTCTGTATACTTCAACAACTTCAAATACTTAGAGCAATGTTTTTAATTTCTGAAGTGAATCGAATCTTTTCAGAAAAGACTGTGACGTACAAAGTAACTAATAAACAAATGTCTTTGCTATATGACTGTGATGACAGAAAAACTAACCTACACATATATTTTGGCCTAACACTAAAATAAAGCTACATTTTCAGTGTACGGAAACTGCATAGAAACTTTTTAACACATTCATATATTTATCTAAATTTTTTTAGTAAATGGTTAGAAAAATATAAACGAATAAATGAATTTAATCTGAAAGAAAATATTTCCAAAACAATATATAATAAGGTTTATAAAATGAGTAAAATTAATAAGAATCACCAAAAAAAAAAAAAAAAACAATTAGTCTAGTTAACCATTAAACTATTTTGTGATTATGTATTCATTTTCATAATTTTATCATACAACCTAAACTTGTATTGACATGGACTAAAATGACTAAAAACTAGAAACCTAAAGTTTGTTACAATTTTTATTTTTCCTAAAATTTTCTAAAAGTTTTGCGAGATTTATAATGAATATTTTTGCAAGTTTAAAAAAAAAATACACATCTAAGCAGGAAATTATTTTTATTCAACAATTGTCAGCAGAAGTGAAAGTAATAACTCAATAAAGTAGGAAGTCATTAAACAAACCTTTAAAAGTTGAAGTTCATGCTACAAGGAGCCATAATTCTTGTAATAAACAGTATATAATTTAATTTAGAAGTACTTAAAAGATTAGATTCAGTTCAATTTTAGATATTTAAAGGACCATGCTTAAAAAAAACTAAGTGTTTGTTTTGTGTGCTAATGACAGTTTTCAAACAACTGCCATTCTGTCACCTGAGTGTTTGTTCTTGCAAAGCTGACCAGTTCCACTTCCCCATTTTGTTCACTGATTATTGACTGTATTCAAAAACATTGAATACCATACACCTAATCCTACCCTTATATTTTTTGACAGAAGTACACAAATTTTGAGTTAGTTTCTGTCCTACTTCTTTAGATTGTAAAAATGCTGTCGGTACATATGTTCATTTTAGGTAAATGTCAGTTAATGGCTATTAATAAACTGAAGATTTATTTCACACAAATTAAATGAAGAACTAACAAGCTTTGACCTAATCAAGTCAATCAGTCAATGTGACTCTAATGCAATGCTTACAAACATTTATGGTTTTTCTTTTAAACAGGATCAAAGGGAGACAAGCCACTGACAAAGGATCTCCTCTGCACCACTGTATGCATATTCATCTGTAGTAGCAATGGACTCTGTCATCTTGAAAAAGCTGCTCTCCAACCATATGATTTCCTCTGATGGACTGATCAGCTTCTTACTGGTACCCTAACAACAAAACTTTAAACTTTAAACATAACAGAAATAAGTAAGTGGGAAAATATCATATATTTCATTCACACCATTCAGTACAATGTAATAATATAAACTCTTTATTTAAAAGTGTGTGTCTGTGTGAAAGAAAGCAAAAATGTGCCGTATACTGTCCACTACACATGAAAATACAAAATAACTGTCTTTATATTCTAACTGTCTTTATATTCTATCTATATAAAAACAAATTCTAATTTTCCGAGTTTGTTAACTTTAGACTCAGAAACTACTGAACCGATTGCTTTCAAAATTTCACACAACGTTGCCTTTGACTCAAAGCATGTTTTTTGTCATAAAATCGCACAAACCACGAACGACGTAGCTCCAGCAATGGTCAAATCTCTATTTGTTTCCTTGCCGGCCCAGATTTGTTTTTAGTTGATTGGCCATTTCTCATTGTGGTTTGTATTTCGTTTTTTTTTTTATACTATTGTGCATTTCAATTGGCACCTGTCTTGATTGATCTACATTCAATATGCCACAACCATTTCCTGACTGAATATTTGGATATGTATTGACCGGAACCTGAGACATTATTTCTTATTAAACTTTGCGTTACTATATAATTTAATTTCCACCAAGTACTTGAGTATCTGGTAGCGTAGTTGTAAATATTCTGCCTATCAATGGGGGGGGGGGGGGGGGCTTAACTGGGCGGCTGGCACGTTGTGATGTGGTTTATGGATAGGCTGCGATATCTACGCCTTTTTTCGGTTTTGGGGTTTACAGCTAGCCTGCGATAGCGGCGACGTGATGCTCAATGGTCATGTCACAGGTAATCTTGTTCGCCATCGAGAGGGTATTGGCACGTTGTGTTGTGGTTTATAGCTAGGCTGCGATATCTGACTAAACTCTTCAGTCTTCGGCAGTATAGTTGAAAGTAATCCACCCTTCACGCGGGTGACCTGTGTTCGATTCCCCGCAGGATGATAATTGTTCTTTTTTCCTTAAAAGGGTGGTTGCCACGTTGTATTGTGGTTTACAGCTAGGCTGCGATATCTGCGCCTTTCGCCCAAAGACATCTAATTTCAGTAAAGTCCCAATTAGCCTCCTCGCGACGCTTCATTTAAACAAATACTATTCGGCAATGACAGAAACTTTTAACTAAGACAGCTTACAGTCCAGTTTAGTTTGGGTGGACATGGATGCCAAGGTCAGTTACAAATCGCCCCTTCGGAGAGGGAGAGATGACGGGTGCGGGGTATTTTTCACCGCTATTTGTGAGTATAGTGTACTTTTTTTTCATCACCGACTATTACTGAGGGTTCCGTCACTGGTTAGGTGATGGAGTTTATTTTCATGTCGGGGGCTAAATTCGACAGCATGTGGCGCTAACTCCTCTGGCTACATCGACCTACACAGACAATAGTGAGTTTTTGTTGTTGTTGTAAAGGTGGTGGTGGTAGTGGTAGCAGTAGTACTGGTACTGAATAGGTGATGTGGTAGCTGTTACACTGGCCACATGTACTTCTCAGTACAAACTAATGCTACCCATTTTAGTCTGGGTGGACACGGATGCCAAACTCAATTTAGTTACAATATTTCGTCAGGTGATGACTTTCCCATCCTTTGGAGAGGATGTTATGATTAGTGGGGGGTAAGGGGGGTTGATGCCAGACAATGTTAAATGAGAGAGCTTAAAATGATATTTTCAAGTTCTCATTTCTTAACTATTTCTTTTTTTAATAATTTCGCCAAGTGATGATTTTTTAATCCTTCGGAGAGGGAGATATGATTGGGGGGGGGGGGGGTATGCCAGACACTGTTAGCTGAGAAAGCTTACAACATTATTTTAAAGTTCTAATTTCTTAACTTTATATTTTAATCATTTCGCCAGGGATGACTTTTCAGTCCTTCAGAGAGGGAGATATGACTGGGTCAAGAGGAGGATGGGGGGGGGGGGGGGGGGGGGGGGGGTAATGACAGACACTGTTAGCTGAGAGCTATTTTCTTTCTTTTCCATAAAAATTTTTAATATGATAAATGTATCACTAAACTGAAGGCCAAATTTACTGGTAATGTGGAACAATAAATCTAATACTCAAACAATTCCACACCATAGGTGGCTGTCAATCCTTGCTATACTGTAATCTTCACACTTGTACTCTCTGTATGCTTAAAAAAAAGTTTAAACATATGGCTGTGAATCCTGGACAATTAATAAACAAGCTGAACAATTTCTTGAGCATTCAGAGGTATGGTTTTATAGAGAAATGCTTCAAATACGGTTAAATCCATTAGACGCCAAAAAAAGTCACCCAAATGTTTCGAAAGAGGTGAGGCCTCGAAGACAACTTATCACAAACATCAGAAGGAGACATTCATAAATTTGTTGGCCATGTTATGAGAAGAGAGAAACTGGAACATGTGACCACTAGACAGATTTGTGGAAAAAAGTTACAAAGTAAGATAACATGTGAAGATTCTTGACAGACTTTTATGTTCAGGGGTGTCAGCACATGAACTAATACATGCTGTTAGAGATGCTAGGTTGTGGAAAGGCATGATCATCTACACCAGTCGGCTAGGACTTGATAATGTGCTTAAAACGATCTAAGCATTTGCACTGTTTAATCCACTGAATACAGTTGCCAAAAATGCTTTACAACACTTAACAGCAAATATCGTTTACAACTACAATACAAGCATGAAGCCATGTTGTAGATCCTGTTATAGCTTTCAATGTTAAATCAACACTGAAATTTACAGACAGCAATTGTGTCAGCTGCATCCACAGTGGTGTCCATTGCCCCGACTGCTGCATACATGGCTTGTCTCTCACTGTTTCTGCTGTCAATCCTAAGGTGACATGCTGTTTGTGGGGTAATCTGGTTATATGACCAAACAGCTAACTTTTGCTGTGTTTTACTGTGTATTACTGACATTTTGCCCATTCTCTTTTGCCTTCAATTTTGACACTGGAAATGCAAGGTTGATAACAAGACTGTTGAGAAATTGTATTTTTCATATCTACTGGAAAATGTAATTGACACGATCTAGTCTGTATAGTGGTTTAACTTGTTACTTCTATTGCTGGTTTCTCCATCTTATAAAATTGTACTTTCCCAAGCAGGTAATTCGACAACTTTACCTCTTGATGCAGAAAACAGTTTCCGACCTGTCAATTGTCAGAACCCCTCATACATATCCATTACAAACAAAGTAACAATATATATCATCAGCAGCAAATCCAAACATAATCTAGAAGCTTATGATTACCTTTACTGTGCCTGTGTTATGTGTATCTTCCCTGTACCATTGTCCTCATGAATGTGGGCATCTGATAAACAAAATATGGCTACTGTCATTTTTTATTTTTTTTAAATACAGTATTTCATCAAATATGTGTATACAACATTTCACTGTCAATGTTTTTATACAAGATTTAAATAGTCAATGTAGATATACAATATTTTATCAGTCATATGCAATGTTTCATCAATGATCAGTACACAATTATAAATATAAACAAATCTCCCATTAAAAACTACTTATCCCACTAAATAAAAAATTATAAAACGAATTATTACATTTTCCCCCTTCTATATCCTAACATTTCCTTCTCTGCATACCAATATTTGAAATCTCTCTGATGATGTAAAATAGCAAAACACATTATTTTATTACTGCAGTTTTTGGGGGGATGTTCATCTCTATCTCTCTAACAATAACATGTGCTATCCTAATTTTTTTCCTATCTCTCTGTCTCACTTTTTTCTGTGTGTGTGTGTGTGTGTGTGTGAGAGAGAGACAGTGTGTGTTTTGTTCATGTAAAATTACACTCATTATCATTATTTAAAAAAAAAGGGGGAAGAAAAAACAATGTAAAAACCTAACTGATCAGAATTATCATGTTATCTAAAAACATTGCTTGCTCAATAAATTATTTTTTAACAAATTTAAAAATAAAGCTGATTGTAAAAAAAAAAAAAAAAACTGACCTCTGTGTTATCATTTAAAGCTTCTGCAATCATCTTTTCTATATTTCTCATGATTGCCACCTTCTGCCCTGCAGTCAGCGGGTAAACAACCTTCATGGTTGGGGCTGCCTGTGACATGTAGCAAAAAACATAACTGTGAAGTGTAGTTCAAACATAGTATATAACTGGGTGAAATGTTGCCAACAGAGAATATTACTGTGTGCAATCATAAAATATACCTATGAAGCAGAGATCTGTGCTGAGTGTGCATATAAATGTTGTCTGTGTGCACTCCATAGCTATTTACAGATTTCATCACTGGTTATAGGTATTTATATAATCACTGACTTTGGATGTACATAACCAGCTGAAGATACATGACAAGGCAGATGTGGTCAAGGCCCTTTGCGAACAAGCAACGGAATCAGTAGAGAAGAAAGATGATTATGGCCTTGAGATAATGAGGCACCTGGGTGTAACCGGAGGGTCTGGCCGGCTCACTACACTCAGAGGAAAAGTAAGACAGACTTTTAACCAGATTGTGACCAGTACCATCAGTACTGGAACTCTGCATTGGCTGGTGAAGATGAGGATGGAGCATGCATGAGAATGATCCAAGTGCTGTTATGTCAATTATTGACTCAACTCAACTCAAGCAGCTGTAGGTGCACAAATGATGAACTTGAATCTACAAGACTGGCCATAGGTGTACTTGGTAAATCATGTGTACGACCGGATATATATATATTTGTATATACATATATATGTGTACACACACACACACATATATATATATATATATATATATATATATATATATATATATATATATATATATATATATATATATATATATATATATATATATATATATATATATATATATATATATATATAAGTTCTACTGATGCCTCAATCTTTGTTTCACATCCAAAGATTTAATGATATTTCAATTTATGTTCTACATTTCTAATTCTACCAATAACCTATCCACACAGTGTCTCTAGTTCTGTAGATACTCTTTCTAATTTCCACCTACAAGTTTAACTGTTGCTAGGAACTATAATCCACATCTGTAGTTTAATTGATCCTTTATCTATATTTCATGTCAGGGATGTTGCATGACCTCTTAGATTGTGATTCGCTGTTAAAAAAGAAAATTCTCCCGTTCAGTTGAAACCAAAAAAATCAACACACACAAAGGAAAAACAATGGCAATAACTGCTTAATGACATAAACATTCAATAAAAACATAACAGCATCTTCACAGATAAAAACACTCATAATAAAGGTTGTTTACCTTGTACCAGAAAGTGATAGATATAGTTTCACCATAACCAGGCAATGACTCTACCTGATGCCACCTGAAATAAACAGTTATAATTCCCATGAGCTGAACAACATTCATGATTTGCTGGCTGCCATCAAGTGTTAATTCATTGGTTATAAATATGATAGTACTTTTCCCCAGCTTTCTACCAATGAAACTGTTCTGAACTCATGATTCTCTCTCTCTCTCTCTCCTTGCTCAGTGATGCTGCTCCACTCTGCAACCTTCTACTTCTACTATCCTTCCATCTTCTTAATCTCCTTCATTGTACACACTTTATTTGCTTAGAGTACAATTTCTTTGTTTCTGCCTTAACCATAAATGCACAATGAAACATGGTTTGTTAAACCAAGTGATTTGCCACAAGTATGGCATTCCTTCCCAAAGAGGCATTCTTTTGCCAAAATGCACTGTATGGCCCAGGAAAACAAAGAATGACTACATAAGTATGATCAAAATGATGGGATGCAAAAGGAATTTTCTTAACAATTTTTTAAGGCATGATGACAAATTAAAGAAGAAATAAATTGTGTCTCTGAACATACCAATACATTGGAAGATATAGTACATCTTTAGGGCCTACTATTGCTTCATAGCCTTTCAGTTTAGAAAACATGGGAAACTTGTCCAAGTCAGGGTTGTCAAAATCCACCTGGCAATAGATAGCATTATGTTAACTTCTGCTTAGCTGTACAACAACAATAGAACAGACCGGGGACGGAGGTGGAATGGGTTTGCCTGCATGCGAGTATGTATATATATAATCATAATGTTGTGGCATTATACATCATGTAGGACTCGTGGTCTAGTTTTCCATTCTGTTCTATCCTATGCAACCCTTTCAAAAGAATGGAAGGAATACAGTCCAGTAACTCTGGCTTCTCTCAGCAATGTTCCTTCTAGGGTTTCCCTTGGATATCTTTGTTTCCTTCCTGCATTGCAAAACTGCCTGGTATTTAACTACACAAGACAACGCTACTATGATAGTGATACTGTGAAAATTAGAGTCAGTGGAAGACCAACCCAAAGAGTAATAAGCGCACAGTTTCTAGGAATAAATTTTGTCAAACAGCTGAACTATGGCAACATATTGATCACAGGTAAACAAATGTAACAGAATTAGCAACCTTCTGAGGATAACTAAAGACAATGGATGGGGAGCTCCTCTAACCACTCCCTTATAATTTCATAAAGCTTTCCTGAGAGGGAAGCTAAAATATAGAAGAATTATCACAGATTCAGCAACTGATTGCACAAAAAGTAAACTAGATAAATAATAGTTAATCAAACGATTATCTTCCAAGCATATCTATTAAGTCCATAAGTGCTCGGATCCCATCTTCAGTATATCCCCCAGTGTTTGGCAACTGGTAACACCAGTTTTGTGTTGGTTTACTATTCTTCTTAGACTACCTGTATAGTGTTCATGTTTGGCAACACCTCATTTGATCTGAAGTTCTTGTAGTTTTTTTAAGTGTTTCTGATTCAAGGTCGTCTCCTGAATCATCTCGTTCTGCCTTTTTTGAGAACACTGAGATGGTGACTTGGTCCATTGATTTTCCTGTAACTACTGTGGCCCTGCCAGCAAGCCAATACACTCGTTCATTCCCTCTTACTCCAGAATATCCTGGCACAAAAATTAAACTAATTCCTTTCAGATAATATTTCATTAGCAACTCCAACTATTTGCTTCGAATCCATCCTGTCTCTATCTTCTTAAGCATGCTCATGGAATCACTTAGATAGCAGGCATGGGAAAAGTGCTGTGTCTCTAGCCACATCACTGGTTTTGTTACCGCCATCACCTCCAAAGTCAAACTCTTGTAGTGGAGGCAAAAGCCCTGCTTTCTTCCTTCACAGTTTTCCCTTGAACCAGAACTGGAAACCCCATGAAATTTGTATGTGCTGAATGACGGATCCGTCAGTGTAGATAACTGCACCTCCCTCAGCTGAATTTTCCAGAATTAAGGCTTGCACTTCTGCCCCAATCGTCAACGGGCCTTGTTGTTTGCAATCTCTACCCAGTTTTATGCACACTGAAAAGGATATACCCAACTCTGCTGGCATTAGTATCCATTGCTTAGATTTGTTAAGCAATGTCCTCAAGATGACCCACCAAGCATTTTTATCTTTTAAACCTGCTACCCTTCTTCCTGCGAATTTCAATGTGCAATGGATGGTGTGTATCAGCACTGATATGCAGATACGCCCGCGTTCAGCAGATCACCGTCTCACGTCCATGGTTGGAAATCAAGGAGGTAACACGCTGCTCTGCATGCTGTATTTTTTGTGTGCATCCAAGTATGATGAGCATGGCCTTATTCTGTCTCTGATTTAGTCTGTCTATCTGTGTTAGAATTGCTATGAGCATGGCCTTATTCTGTCTCTGATTTAGTCTGTCTATCTGTGTACAGCTAAGAGTCAGAATCGCTATGAGCATGTTCAATTACATGAAAGGATCAGACCCTGGTATCGGAACAGTAGGTGACATTGCTCAGCTTGTCGCAGACATAATCCTTAGCGTTGTCAAACCTCCCTTTTCCTTTATTATAACGTGGTTCACATAAAAAGCAAGACTACGGTTAAAACAGACTCCTAAATACTTCATTGAATGAGTTCTCTGCATGACATCCGAACACAGACTCACAGTTGGTGTGTTTATAATATGTTAATTCAGTGAAAACCATGTTACAGTTGACTTTAGGCTCAAGATGGCATGATATTTTCTTGGCAACTATCTTTTCCATCGAGGCATGACATCTGCCTCAAGCGCTGGAGGTCCTGGGTTCAGGCCCTGGTGAAGACTGGGATTTTGTTCACGTGGACTTCTAGTAATTTTCCTTGGTTTCTGGGTAAGATCGGATGCCCCTGTGTATTGCTGCGAATGTAAATAAATCCCTTGGCAGTTGGAAATCGAAAAGAGTAGCCTAACAGCGCTGATTCGTCAGACTCAGGCTTAAGTCAAAAGTAAAACAGAGCACTTATGGGTTACTACCCTTGTGCCATGATGATGTGCCAGGGTAGCCCTGCATAGTTGTGTGGTCTTTACCAGGCTTCTGCAAAGGTATCAAATAACCACGCAGCCACTCTTCATCGACTGTCGCACTGTCAATGCTGCTGTTTTAGATGCCGGCCAGTTCTTGCAACAATTTATTAGACAGATGTTAAATATCTCCATAGCAGATGCCAACTGGTCCCGGTGCAGTTTTTTGCCTGCCTTAACACAGCCCTGATTTCACCCACCGGCACACAATCTTTATCCTCCATGTCGTGGGCATTACAAATAGCTGAAACATGTGTTCTGGCAACTTGGCGATTCATTATGTCATTTTGGTCACTCTGCTCAAGGTAGTGAGTAAGCAGAGCAATGCATTTTTGCTTATCAGTTCTGTGCCAAGTGAGGTCACCACTGTGGAGGCCTGTAATGCACTTGCAAAGTGGTTAGGTAGAGCAGTTCTGCATTTGTTCTCATGCTGCCAAGTCTGACAGCTAGCCGCTTATATATCCAAGTTTTAGGCACCTTGTCATTCCACCGAGGGGGGGGGGGGGGGGGGGGATTTTCAGTTTTTCTTCCTAAAGGAGTGTATTTTATGCTTCTTACGCCAGATTGTACTGAAGACATCATGCCTTGTTGGGCTTATGTCTCCTCGACCTGCCTTTCTCCACCAGTATGTACCAGGGAAGATGATCACTGTCATGTCGCACTAGGACACTCCATCGACATATGGACATGAGCCCATGAGAGGTCAATAGCGTTGTCTACACCCCCTGGTCCGCTCGCCAGTCTGATGACACAGCCATTGTTGATGCACACTAGGCTGGCGGATTGAATGGCATCTTCGAGTCCCTCTCTTTGAGTGTTGGAAGAAATATTTCCCCATAGCTTACTCTTAGCATTTAAATCATCACAGAAAATGGTGTTCCTTTCTTGAGAGATAATCTCATTCAAACACAACCCTTTCTGGGAATCTACTCGTCCATTACATGCATACATATTCACAAATAACAATGAATGCTTAGAATTAACCCTAATGGCTTAAAGCAGTAGCTCATCACTGTCCCACTGAAACTTATTCTGGATGAGTTTCACTGTTCACACCAAATATCAGAGAGAGTTAATGTTTCTAAAGTATTTAATGACAGGCAATACCATGTGTTGGAACAAGACCTTTAAGAGTCTCATAAGTCACTGCCATTTCTGAAAGGTCTCAAATCTCCAATGACAATTTGGTATAATGCTGTCAATGTTGAATCTGTAGCTACGGTTTCAATTACATGTTACTCTAAAACAGTATCATTTGTCTTTTCTCTGAAACAGTCTTGAAAAAATAATTTTAATAGGAAAATGCATTTTTGTGAGTGAATCATGTAGTAAATATCATAAAAACTTAATTTCTTTCAGATGACTTGCAAATTCAAGTCTGTGGTCAATAAGGGAAGTTGCCTCTAACATCTCATTAATGTTGTCTACCATTTAGCTCCCAGAAATAACTAGAAAGAAGTGGATTATAAAAATGTGGTTTTAAATCAAAAAGAAAAGATGAGAAACACTGCAATAAAGATCACGAAAGATGGCTAGTTACTGTCACAATGAATGAGGACGAAAGATTCCTACCTGACTCTGTCTGTCATGTGGATGGTATATTGGGTATGGGTAAAGGCATTCAAACTGGCTGGGATCAAACAACAGAAACCTTTTGTAACCTTGAATCTGAGCAAACAAATTCTCCTGCTCATCATAGTGGGCTGGAGTTATCACACCTGAAAGCAATTGTCAAATCACAAAATGACAAGATTCTTTTTAATTTTTCTTAAAAACAGTCACAATAAAAGCAATATATTGCTGCTTCCCAAACAGTTTAATGTTTACTGACATGGAAAATAAGATGCGTGTAATTTGAGAAAAAGTGTATTTGCTCCAGTAAAATAATAATCTTCTACTACAGTATTACTAAAACAAAAACTCTTGTCTATCAGGCTTGTGTTCCCAGTACTCTGCTTTATGGCAGTGAAACTTGGTCAACTTATTCGCACCAGGAGAGGTGGCTAAACAGCTTTCACATGCGATGCCGAAAAAGAATACTTGGCATTAAGTGGCAGGACAAAACTGCAAAAACTGAGGTACTGGAAAGAGCAGGTACTACAACAGTCTTTTCCATGTCTACGAAGGCTCAGGTGGCTGAGACACACCTGGAGAATTGAGGATGGTTGAGTCCCTAAGGACATCCTTTATGGTTAATTAAAGATGGGTAGAAAATGTTGACGCGGACCTCTACTAAGGTATAAAGATGTGTGCAAGAGGGACATGAATAATACAGGTATTGGGGTGGACTCATGGGAACAAAATGCCATGGAGAGAGCACATCAGAAAGGGAATAAGAGTGAAGGAAGAAATTATTTTCAGAAAAGATGAGAGCTGAGCGTCTGAGAAGAAACGGATTGAAAACAAATGTTGACAACAGTGGTCCTGAAATCCCATGCTATCATTGTAGAGGACTTGCTTGACACAGGCAGTTCTTGCTAGTCACACTCACCATCGCCATGGGCTGTGAGTATCATACCTCCTCATAGCGCAATATAACTATCGCCTGGAAAGACAGCAAGGTGCCAATCAATCAGTACAGCATTCCAAGCCCTTGAGGTTCAATGTTGCAGATATAACCCATGTCCATTCATCTCTGTGACTGACCTTCTTTTTCCATTTGGTAACTCCAAGTGTTTGTGGGTATGTCTGTATCTCTTCACAATCTTCTTGGTCTGTCTCGTGGTCTACTGCCACTATGTATTTGTGTATGTATTTTTTGTTTTAGTTTCTCTGTTATCTGCCATTCTCTTTCTATGTACCATTGCAATCTTGTAGTAAAATGAATAGTATCGAACAGCCTATACCAAATGTTTGAAAATAAGTTTGACAGGACAAATGAATAAAAAAGGGTACAAACAATTTAGATCATAGCCTTAGCATCTGCATTTTGTTTTTTTTAACCCGCAGCTGGACCAGTTATTCAGTCATTAATTATCTTTCAAATGACACTTGCAATATATGACAGCTACAATCAACCATTCAATCTGTTCAGCTTTTTAAAACCTTGTGCTGTCTGTTGCTCAACAGTTTCCAAGAACTTCTCGTTCCTAATGATCCTCTCTGTCAAAATGTCTTTGATCTCATAACACTGACTTTGGCACAAAATGAGAAACAATTTTACGATACACTGAGCAAAAAGAGAGTGCAGGAACCAGGAAGACAATACTGTTCTGCAAAGAATCAAACTAAAAAGATTAAAAGACTATAATCTACCACGGTAAATTAAAAAAAAAATTTTTTAAACGCTGCTTGCAGAAAACAATTTAAAGTAGGGTGTAAAATAAAAGCTAAACCATTTTCTTTCAGTCTGACAGACATAAAATCCATAACTGCTACTTATTAAATTCAGTACCAAAGTAAGAACATAAGAACATAAGTTTTCAGTACTAAATGAAAACTTCCTAACGGCCTGAAATTACAAATTCTATGAAATATAATGTAAACAAGTATTGACTGGCACTCAAGATGTAAAGGACAGAGGAAAAGACAGATCAACAAATGTATAACACCTATAAGTGTAATATAAAAGCAAGATTCACCCGGTGAAAACAACAGAAATTAAAAAACACAATTCTTGAATCATGGTGCACTAGCTGTTTCAATTACATAATACAGAAATAGCAACTGGTAAGGAAAATCATACTTCTCTTTTATCTTGCAATCTCCAACAGCACGTATGAATTCATGTTCCGATACCCTTGCCATATCATGACAAAAGGCAATAAGTACAAATGTAGGGGGACAAAAAACCAGATGAAAACCAAAACTGACAGATAAGGGATACTGAAATGACACTGCAACAAACAGCAAAGAAAAAGGCCACCATAAGATGGCAAGAGGTGGTTGTAGGTTTATGGGTAGCAAAAAAGAAAAAAAAAGGAGACAAGTAACATACCTTCCATGCCAACCAAGAGGAGATTTGATGTTAAGGGCCCCCATCTATTTTTCCTCTGTTGCTCGTTAGCCCAGGACCAGTTAAAATTGGTGAAGTCCATGACCACACGTTTGCCGACTGAGTCATTCAGAGGCTGCTGCAGGTATAAACTGAGAAACAGAATCAGACGTGCAAGCACCAGACATTTTTTCTATTTATCTAACATCTATTATCATAAATATTTAGTGGCAATAATGGTTCTGAAATCTCACATACTTATTGAGGAAGATTTGGTTTTAAAACAAAAACATGCTATTTCAATTTATTTTCATGCAGTACACTCTACTTCCACCAACCTCAACAGACAAAAAGGTACATTCTTTTTTTTTCTTCTTCTGCGTTCACCTGAAGATGCAAGTGCATTGTGCCCATTTACAATATGGCTGTGATATTTGCACCTTTCGGCTGACACATCCGACTTCTGCAAGCAACTGTTCTCCGGTTTAGCATTCCCAGGTTCCTTCCATGTGGCATGGTTGAATATTTTCCTGAACAGAGTGACTCTAGAGTCAACACAATCTAATAAAATGGCCACATGAGATGTGCAAGAGTTCAAACAAGTGTTAGATTAGTTTTAATATTCTTTTACTCCCCTCATGGACCAAGTAACATATGGACAACTGGGCACTAGCCCATGTCAATGATACCAAAGTCAAAGCAAAGCTAGAGGAGTACCTCAGCCTGATACAAGTATGATCTATGATGAGGACAAGAAGTTTGTCATAAGAAGCTACTGGCACAAGAAGGAAGTACCCATGATATCACAAAGACAAACATATACTACAAAATCTACAGAAGTAAGAAAGTGGCAATCTTCAGTTGCAGAACAGAAAATGAATGACAGGGACACTCCTGCTCAAGAAACATAAGGTCTACTGGCAAACGTAAATTATCAACAAGAGTTAAACTATAAATGTAAGCACTCATTTTTTTTTTAAATATTATAAATTCAACAGCATTAGAGACTGGAAAGATCATTTAGATAAATGTCTGGCATGTCTGAGTCATTGGTCAAACATATATAATTTAACATCCCATGTTTGCCAGCAAGGTCAAAGTTTAATCCTGAATGGGAGAGGAAATTCACCCTTTGATCACAGATGGTTCTAGGAATGAATCAACCTTCTACAATGTACACTAGATATTTCTCTGTGGAGAAAAGGTTTTGAGAACAGACACTGTGATCTGAAAAAGAGGTAAGTATATATGTATATATATATAGATATTTAAAAACACACACATACACATACATATATATACACATATATACATATACACACACATATATATATATATACATACACACACACACACACACACACATATATATATATATATATATATATATATATATATATATATATATATATAATATCATACACACACATAAACACATACATATATATATATATATAATATATATATATATATATATATATATATATATATATATATATATATGTATATATATATGTATATATATATATATATATATATATATATATATATATATATATATATATATATATATATATATATATATATATATATATATATATTTATACACACACACATATATATAAATATATATATATATATATATATATATATATATATATATATTTTATACACACACACATATATATAAATAAGGGCTATACCGAATATTCGCTTTGGGGCCAAATAGTGGACCTAATAGCTTTTCGGTATTTGGCTGAATAGTGGCGGTCGGGCCGAATACGAATAGTCATTTCTGCATACACTGCGATGGAATGAAATAACTCTCTCATTAACACAATAGTAGCGTTGACTAAATCTGTTGTAGCGGGGAAAACTACTACGACCCGGTTGCGTGGTAACAGGAGGTGGCAAGGTCGTTGCCTGCTGACTCGACAAAGGCATTACAGCAGAGGTTCTAAACCTGGGTTTGTATGCCAGGGGTGCCGCGGCAAAAATAAAAAAAAAATCGGCTATAAATTGTGACATTATTAAAGAAAGCACGAAGAAACTTGAAAGTTAAATTTTAAATTGTCTTTCCTCGCAGCTGTCGAAAAAAGTTTTTTTTTCTTTTTTTCACACTCAAAGTATATCATACTGCATAAAATGCCAACCGCAGCTTGCTAAAATTGTCTTTGTATTTATCTCAACATGCGACCAATCCTCCATCTGTATTCGTGAAGGTGCAGCAAATAAGTAAGGTTTGCTCAAATTTTGAAGTGGAAAATGTGGTCTGTACAATATTAACTGTTAGCCTCGTCAAGTAAGCACATTTCTTTAAAGGCAATGTGTCATTTTTTGTTGCTTTTGTGCGTGTGTATCTGTGTGTGTGTGTGAGAGAGAGAGAGAGAGCGCATTCATTTTTTCGTTCTTTCGGGGTGTCTTTGCCCAAATCAAATTTGAAGATATTGCTAACGAGAATATGAAGGTGCGTTAAAATTTCATCGATCGAACGCCAGAGCGAACGATGATTTAAATGCGAATTTGGCAAATGGATAAAATCAGTTGAAAGATGCATTACTGAAATAAAAAACAAAATAGGAGAGGCAAAAACTGCATTTTATTTTTAAAAAAAGACATCTTATGCAATATATCTTTGTCTTGCTTGCTACATACATCCAGTTTTAACATATGGCTGAGTCCTGGACAATCGGTAGGCAGGCCAAACAATTTTTTGAGGCCTCAGAGATGTAGTTTTACAGAACAGTGCTAAAAATACGTTGGACAGCCTAAAAAAAAGCAACCACTAGGTTTTGAAAGAGGCGGGAGCCCGAAGACAACTAATCACAGACATCAGAAGGAGACATCATTTTTCGGCCATGTTATACACACGAACTGATACATGCTGCAGGAGATCGCAGGTTGTGGCGAGGCAAAACCGCCAACACTAGCCGGCAAGGCACCTGATGATGATGATAATACACTTTTCGTATTCTGCCGAATAGTTGGTCCCACTATTGGTATTCAGCCCTAATATATATATATATATATTTATATATATAAAAACAAACAAAAAAACACACGCACGCACACACACACATACATATAAGCATTTGTAAAGAACTAATAACTTATCATGTTGAAATTAACTTATCCTAAATAAAGAAAGAGTGTGAAAAAAAAGATAAGCTTAATTAGACATTTACCATTCACTAGTGTTATTCTTTTTTAACTTGGAGGCAAACTCCTGGAATGTCATGTCTGAATGTGAGGTTGGTGGAGTGAAGTCTTTATTTTGTGGTAACTTCTTTTCATCATAATACTTAAACTTTTTATTTTCAGATGAGTAGACTGTATACTGTCCAGACCCCAGGTTTGAGCACAAGTAGGCCAGGTCCCAGTGATATGCTGATCCGACCAGTTCACTGTCCGTTAAAACCACAGGTTGCTGCAATAAAAATAAAAATAATATAAAGGACATTTTCATGCCAACATCCAGTGTTAGACTCATATTTTTATAGACCAGTTAGTTAGTTGGGTTATCATCATTGCACTCCGGACATGTCCATAGGTGCTCAGATCCTCCCCTCAGTATGAACCCCAACGTCCGATAGCTAATAGTACCAGTTCTATGTTGATTAACAAGTCTTCTGGCGTGTCTGGTGTGCATCTTGTTTTTTGCTGTGCCGATCTTAATTCCCAAGTCTGCCATTCTGGCGAGTGATGTGGATTCACTGCCACCAAAGTCCTCTATCCTTACCATTTCTCTGAGGGCACTAATAATATCAGCATGATCCATAGGCTGACCGTCGGTGGTGATAGCGGATCCAGCCAACCTGTCAGCTCTTTCATTTCCATCGACACCTGCGTATCCCGGAACAAAAATAAAGGTGACTCCACGCACAGTGGAGTTCTGTAATGATTCAAGCCATTGTCTTCGCACTGAACCTGCCTGAACCCTCCGGATCATACTCATTGAATCACTGAGTATACATACGCAGGTGTATTTTTGTGTTTCAAGCCAGGCAAACGCTTGCGTCACTGCCATCACCTCCATCGTCATGCTGCTGGTTATCATGGAGAAGGCGCCGTTGGCTTCTTTGACTGTTCTGCCCGCTGAGCGTGCTGTGAATGCCCATGCGCTTCTTTTTTGACGTATAACGGATCCATCTGTATAGATTAGTGCATCTGCTTCGTCTGAATTTACACAGATGAGAGTGTTGACCTCTGCATTAACAGCAACAGTATTCTCTTCTCTACATCACCTGTTGAGTGTGACAATACAGGAAAATGTACAAATAAACGCCTGAGGCACAGGTATCCATTCTGCACCAGGTATGATGTCGGTTAGGCTGCATATTTGCCTAATAACATCTTCTGCCCGACCTTGCCACGATTTTCCCCTCTTCAGTCTGTCGCCCTTTTCACTAAAAGCGCTTGATGCAGTGGGTGTTTCTTATCAGCACATGTTTTAAGGTATGCCAGATGTCCTCCACATCCTGATCCTTTGGTTCATTGTTGGAAAGTAGTATAGACCAATCAGCATTCAATGGGTCAACATTCAGGCCAGCCATTTTTGTTAAACTTCCTAGAATAGTTCCAGCTTTTCATTTTAGGCTGAGCTGACCTGGAATCCCAGGTCAATGGAATAAAAATAGTAACTTTTAAATAGGTATAAGCATTATCTATTCTACTGCTATTGTTACAAGCCAATAAATCAACTGAAATAAAACTGTGTATAAACTGTTGTTATACACAGAAGACTAAATTTAAAGCTGTACTGAATTCACAATTACATTATTTTTAACATGTCAGTCAGCCCTGTGACTGTTCTTTTAGACACACATTTAACAGCCTCAATTACTTATTCAGTCACAACAGATAAAACTAAATACTAGACTTCTTTCTAAGTAGTTGTCATTACCTTTACAAAGAGCTATTTGTTGTGAAAAAACTGACAGAAAATATCTCAATTATATTCTGGTAATGTATTTGAATATGACACTGTTTATGCTCTTGCCCTCATGTGTTCCTTGCTAACTTCTGATGTAACCTTGTTTCTTCATTTTCTTCTCTTTGCTATGCCAAGGGGAGTTAGTAATTATTATAAAGCTGACCAGTCTTCTGTCTCATGTACTGTCAGTCATTTCAGAAACAGATGGTTTTTTTTTATGTAAAAGTATCCAACCACCTTTTCTCTTACTCTGCTTTGATTCTCTGTAATCAATTTCCATACTCCGTGTGTGAGTTTCGTGAAATAAATAATGAAAATCACAACTTATATCTTAACATAACAAAAAAACAAAGATAATGCATACAGATAAAACTATTATGGAGAAAGAAATATAATGAGGAAAGATTAGAGGTTGTGGAAAAGTTTGAATATCTTGGGTCAATGATTACCAACATTGGTGATACGAATAAAAGAAATTAAACGATGACTTTTAATTGCCCTTCAAAGACTAAAACAAATGAATAAATTATGGAGTGGGACAGTCAGAACTATAAAAATTAGATTTCTTAGAGCATGCATCTTTCCCATTGCAGCATTTGCCTGTGAGACCTAGACACTTACTAAACAACCTAAACAGCACATAAATGCCTTTGAATACAAATGTTACATATGGGTTCTGACAATATCATGGGTAAAGAAAAGAACAAATGCATCCATACTTCAAGAAAGGAATATTGAAGAGAGTAGGCTATTAAAGACAATAAAACACAGACAATTGTAATAGTCTGCTTACTTGAAACATCACGAAAGTTTGGAGAGAACAATAATGCAGGCTTTTATGCCTGGGAACAGTAGAAGGAGAAGGCTAAAGAGAAGATGGGTGCAGGGTGTGGCGGATGATCTCCATATGGGTGCGTAGGACGCGGGACATACAAAAAGACAATAATTCAGCATCATCATCATCAAGTTCTTTGCTGACTGGCCTGAGGGGATTCTAGTCTATACATCTTGCAATCTTTTAATAGATCAGTTTGTGTACTATCGTGAATCAAAAAGTCATTAACTTTTTTGGCTCTCCTTTGAATCGTTCCCCAAAATAGCGGCTTTAATATGATGGCGTTCGAAAGAGAGCTAAATTGGAAAATTTCTAGCCATAAAATATCCAAAAATATCCTAATGCGGGTCAGTTCTATTAAAAATATGTGCCGGCTCCGGATAACGAAACAAATGCTCTGACAGGGTCTGGACGATACGTTGCTTGCCGACCTGCTTCTGCGAGTGTGCCTTACCGCTACGCGCGGATGGGGGCTAAACTAGATGGCTGGGACTTACGAGCGGCAGCTACCGCATCTCCTGCAACTTCCTCCATATACAGTACTCATGAGTCCCAGGCACCTAGTTCAGCCCCCATCCGCGCAGCGCGTAGCATCGCGGGGGATACCCTCGGCGATGATTTTAATCGCGTTTTGCGCATGCCAACAAGTCTGACATCTACCGATGCTAAATCCTCCAATCGGAAGAACACAGCATTGCTAATCGGCTTTCATTGTCTGTAATGTCTCGAACTTGGTCAACGGTCGCTAATATCGTCTGCTAGTATCGTCTGCAGAAATGCTCAAAATTGTTGTCAACGGTCGGTATTTATCGTCTGCTACTAGTACCGTGTGCAAATGTTGATATTGATTGTCAAGTAATCATAGTTTTGCCTCGATTTGTTCCTTGGCAGAAAGTCCGTATTTTTTATATACGCGAACACCGTCGTTCTGATATTTTTGGATATTTTATGGCCAGAATATGGCATGCCGTCATTTTGGGGAATGATTCAAAGGAGCGCCCCTTTTTTTAACAGAATAATTAAAATGCACAGCTGTATCAATCATGTATTCTGCATATGTAAGACAGTCAAAAGATATGTGATAAAAAATTTTTTTTTGAGAAAGTTCCATAGTTATCAGAAAGGGTTTTAGTCAAAAGAACACAGCTGTGTTGTTTAAAAAAAGTTTAAATAAGTCCAACTGATAGTGGTACTGTTAGTAATACTAATACCAATAATTATGTTGTTAAACTCATATTTTGTTTGAATTTTGACTGAACTGAAAGTGAAACTACTGAAACCAATTTTTGTCACTTTCGTCTCCCTACCTAATTGGCTTACTGACAAATATTTGACTTCACATAATAATTATTATGTGTGTATTTATTATGTCACATACAATGTTCCGACTACCTTTAAAGTAGTTTAACTTTACAACTATAAACTAATTGCTCTAATGTTAACATCAGTGACGCACAATAAAGGACACTCCACAATAGCTGACAATACGTTAATACCTTGGCTGTAGCCAAGTGCGCTGGGAAAAAAAATGAAATTCGTTGTTTACACACTCAAGCACCGAGTTCCGTTATCCGAATCCCAATCAAAAATACAACTTATACTTTAAAATGTAAATGAAAAGGCCTAAGATGTGTCGTGTCAATGTATAAACCTACCCCCGACTCAATAAGTCGTTCCGCTTCAGGATCTCGGTAGTGTAAACGTGGAATCTGTTGTGTGGGAAATGTGTATTTCTTTAAATTAAAACGTTTGCCACCATAGACGCCTTCCACGGTAGCCATTTTTTAAACAACTAAATTTAGAACACAACAAAGGGAGCAGTAATTTTGTTGTCAACTTAGCAAATGTGCGCACGTGTCTTTTTGATTGTACTATTTATTAAATATGGGTATATTTCAAATGAAAGAGTTTTTGTATAATAATTAAAGAGAATGTGCTGTAGCAACAACATTACGAATCATAGTAATACGTAATAAGAAAAATTAATTAACATCCTCATAACAAGTAGTCCCTCTTATGTAACTTGTCATGGAATATGCCTCCTCTGCAGTGTTGCCACTTTGGATGTTTTACATCCAGATTTAAATGTTTTCACTTACATTTAGATGGCGTTTTTGACGTTTAGATGGTAGATGTTCTTCTATATGTTTTCATTTGAAGTGAATTTATCAAATCTAACCTTCTTCTTCTTCTTGTGTTGGCTTTCTGATTTACACCGACCGACAGGTTCTTGTGATAAACTTGACTGTTTTTATGAGTTCCTTTTCAGTCCCATACAACTTTGTGTGCAGTGGAGACTCACTTGGCCAGTATTCCCTTCTTCTGTAGAATGCACATTCAGCCCACAAGGGCACAAAGGTGAACTACTTAGACGAAGCCTTTACATATGCTGGTTAAGTTTGTTATGTCCTGTCCTGAGACGTAGGACAATGACCTGCCTATGCCGGTCAAGTAAGTGGTAGTCATCTCTGGCCAGACTCTGTTCACTTATAATAGCCTGGATGGCCCTTTTCTTCTCATAGTATGTTACTGCATTCTCTTCCTTGTCACATTCTGCCCGTTTCATAGCAAGTTTATCTGCGGTTTAGTTTCCTGGTATACCACAGTAGGATGGCACCCACTGGAGTACAGTACACTTTTGGGCAGCCACCTTGCCAAGTTCATATCTCAAGTGAGGGAGTTTGCCACTCTTGAGGGCTTGAAGCTCTGATAGCGCATCTGTGAATATGACCACTTGGTGGCAGTCAGAACTGGTATTGTGTAACATTTCGGCAGCCTGCTCTAGTGCTACGATCTCTGCTGTGTAGTTGGAACAGAATTTACCAGTGGGTATATACTTTATGTGGCGGTGGTTGCCTGGGTATGTAATAAAGACTCCAGCACAAACATTTTTAACCGCACTGGTTGCTGATACATCTGTGTAAACATGTATCCATGACTGTTCGGGATAGTTTTCATGAATCGTGCTAAGAGCAGTTGTTCGTTTTTGAAGATCATTGGACTCATCTCCAGTTGTGAATCTATTGACTGAAGTCATTATTTGTATTGTATCACTGACTTGCTCCCAAGGTACAGGGTATAGGGTAGGTTTCAGCGGTGTTGTTCTAATAGGTAGATCACCTTGGTACTGTCTTATAAGTCTTTTTCCCCGGTGGACGAAGCTGCTACGTTTGAGACGCCCCAGTGCCAGATCATCTAACCTTCCATTCATTGGGTGTGACTGCATACTATTAAACTTCTACTTGACTTTCCAACAATGAACCAAAGGATCAGAATGTGGAGGGCTAGGGCATACCTCAAAATATGTGCTGATAAGAAACACCCACTGCATCAAGCGCTTTTTAGTGAAAAGGGCGACAGACTGAAGAGGGGTAAATCGTGGCTAGGTCGGGCAGAAGATGTTATTAGGCAAATATGCAGCCTAACCGACATCATACCTGGTGCAGAATGGATACCTGTGCCTCAGGCGTTTATTTGTACATTTTCCTGTATTGTCACACTCAACAGGCGATGTAGAGAAGAGAATCCTGTTGCTGTTAATGCAGAGGTCAACGCTCTCATCGGTGAAAATTCAGACGAAGCAGATGCACTAATCTACACAGACGGATCCGTTATACGCCCAAGAAGAAGCGCATGGGCATTTACAGCACGCTCAGCGGGCAGAACAGTCAAAGAAGCCAACGGTGCCTTCTCCATGACAACCAGCAGCATGACGATGGAGGTGATGGCAGTGACGCAAGCGTTTGCCTGGCTTGAAACACAAAAATACACCCGCATATGTATACTCAGTGATTCAATGAGTATGATCCGGAGGGTTCAGGCAGGTTCAGTGCGAAGACAATGGCTTGAATCATTACAGAAGTTCACTGTGCGTGGAGTCACCTTTTTTTTTGTTCCGGGACACGCAGGCGTCGATGGAAATGAAAGAGCTGACAGGTTGGCTGGATCCGCTATCACTACCGACGGTCGGCCTATGGATCATGCTGATATTATCAATGCCCTCAGAGAAATGGGAAGGATAGAGGACTTTGGTGGCAGTGAATCCACATCACTCGCCAGAATGGCAGACTTGTGAATTAAGATCGGCACAGCAAAAAACGAGACGCACACCGGACACGTCAGAAGACTTGTTAATCAACATAGAACTGGTACTATTAGCCATCGGACGTTGGGGTTCATACTGAGGGGAGGATCTGAGCACCTATGGACATGTCCGGAGTGCAATGACGATAACCCAACTAACTAACTAACTAACAAACTTCTCCATATGGATCATAGTTTTAGTGTCTCTTCTATAGGACAATGTCTGCATTGCAGTTATTTTCTGCATCTCCAGGATTGGTGCAGTTTTCTTGGATCCTGTGATGAGTCTAAGAGCTTGATTTTGCACTCTGTCTAACGATTGTAGATGGGAATTAGCAGCTGTTGACCATGCTGTTGCACCAAACTCCAAGTGGGGTCTTATCGCTCCATTTTAAACTTTCTTTAGGGTTTTTCCATTTGCTCCCCATCCTGTACCTGCCAGTTTTCTAAGTAGGCCTGGTCGTCTCCTGGCCTTCCCTTCTACATTTTCTATATGTTTGCTCCATGTGAGCCTTTTATCAAATGTTACTCCAAGATAAGTGGAGAAGCTTTCTTCCTTTAGCAAGGATGTTCTTAGGTGAATACTAGTAGCTTTGTCCCCGGGGGAAAAGAGAGAAAAGCGTTGTGGATGTTTTGTCTGTGTTGATGGCAACATGCCACTTTTCTGCCCATGCCATCAAGAGATCTGCTGCTCGCTGCATTCTTATATTTGCCATTGTGGTGTGTTCATCAGTACACAAGAGTGCCAGATCATCTGCATACAGGGCAGCTTTTACTCCTGTAGGGAGGTCTTTCACCAGATCATTTATATAAACAAGAAAGAGAGTTGGAGAGATAACTCCTCCCTGGGGTACTCCTTGCCGAAGTAACACTTTTCTGCTCTGCTGGCCATCAAGACTGACTCTAGTTCTCCTGTTGTGTAAGAAGGATTGGATCCATTTTAGCATGTTTTCTTGGATTCCATTTCTCTTCAGTTCTGCAATAAGACCATCTTTCCAGACTTTTTCTTCTCTTGGAAGGCATCCTCTACAGCTTGTGACAGGTAGGTGACTTGGTCTTCTATGCTGTGACATTCCCTAAATCCAGCCTGCTCTGGCACCAAGATCTACTCAGATTCTATGTGCCATTTCAATCTTGAATTTACAATTCTTTCCAATGTCTTTTCTACACAGCTTGTGAGACTAATTGGGCGATAGCTGGAAGCCTGGGTCTCAATTTTTACTTTTTTTTAAATGGGAATTGTGATGGCTTCTCTCCATACTTGAGGCACCAAACCTTTCTCCCAGATGATGTTGAAAATTTCCAGCAGCTTTACTTTAGCAGATGAGCTCAGATTGATCAGCATTTCGTTGCTGATTTTATCTGGACCTGCATACTTTTTTAACTTAAGCCTGGAGATGGCATTTTGTAGTTCACCCATGGTAAATGGCTCCCTCATAGAGGCAGGAGTATTTGTCTGTCTCTGATTTGTTTGTATTTCTTTCCCTATTTCTCTCTGGTGGTCCTCATTAAGGGTCAGGTTGCTTTCAACACTGTATGTTCTGGCAAACAAATCTGCAACTTGTTTTCCTCTGAAGATTTTGTCACCATCACTTAGTGCGATTGTTTGTCTAGGAGATAAACTCTCGTCTTGAGTGATTTGGCTAATCTCCAGAGTTTCTTGCCATCTTTATCAAGGTTTAGAGCTGCCGTTTTATTTCTCCAGCTTTTCCGTTTTTCTTCAAGTTTAGTTCTCTGGAACACTGCTACAGCCTTTTTCCATTCTGTGTGGTTGTCGGGCGAAGTCAGATCTGAAGCACTGGTAGCCTCTCACTTTAAATATTTGATCTGCCTGCAAATGGGTTTCTTGGATGCAGCATACACTGACATGCTTTTAATAGAGGATGTTTTCCAGCTCCATCTTTTTGCTGTAGCCAGCCTGCTTACTGCTGACCCCCTCTGCATTCCAGTGCATTATGACAAAATGCAATTTGGGATCTTTTCTGTCTAACTGGTTTTGGTCAGTAGCTATCCTCCGCCTTCTCCTGACTCCACAAGACGGTCTAGGAGGTCCTCCAGTAGCTGAGGGTGGATTCTGTCGAGGCTCAGAACCCGGCACTGCACCTGCCTGGTGGAGCTCCACAGGGCGAGCACCAACATTAAATTTGTCTGACGGTGTAATCATATATATAGCGAGGGGTTGCGTAGTACTGTGGTTTTGATCCGCCTTCTGGCCCAGTATTTCCGAATTTAGGATCTCTTGAGAGGGAGAGTAGGCTCATCCCTTCGCCTTTACCTCGTTTGTTGTCCCATCCAGTTTCCCGCTGGGGGTTGAAACCCCAACCTTCAACTGGTTTGCTGGGAAGAACAGGATCCACCACGTGAAGGTGAGGTAGGCTTGAGCAAGAGAGGCTAATAGACATTAAGAGTCTTGTATTGCGCATCATTACTACATTAGGACCCCAAATCTAACCCAATAAACAGGATGAAATTTGACCTCTTAAATGCTGTCTTGACAATCAAATTCGGCCTGATAAGAGTAGGAAAAGCTGCTCCATTTATCAGCTTCCTGATTGGGTATTAAAAGAAATTAGAACACCTAAAGCATACCAGAGTCATTTTGGATCTGAAGCTTCAACTTCATCATCCAAGCTAAGTTTATCCTGTGGATCTTTTGTAAGGCAGACTTCAGTAAAGATGCGGACATGACTTCTACAGG